TGTAAACTCTATTTAGATATGTTTTAAAGTATTTAATTTAACGGTGCGAATAATGGAAAGTTAACGTGAATTGAGAATGGATATACAATTTTGGGAAATGTATTTAAAATATAATTACTTTTTTGTATATGACGTATTAGTTAAATAGTGGTTAAAATCTTTAAATATTTGCCTTATAGTAAATTTATAAATTCCTAAAACCACAGCCGAGGTAGTGGGAACGAACGGGGTAGTTTTTAGCCAGTAAGAGTGTGACAGTTACCTCACAGAGTGAATGAAGTCATTTCATTTTTCTCCACAAAAAATAAGTACTAATTCTACCTCCCTGTCTACTATTTAGTATACAGTTGAAAATATAATGTTGAAGCATATATTTTCCATTATGTCTGTTATTTTTATTCTTTTATTTTATGATAGTACTTTAAACTGAGCTGTTAACCTATCATGAGTAGAACTGAGAAGACCCCTTTATAACCATGACCTTAGTTTATAGGTAAATAATTATACTAGGTATCTAGATCTTACACACACACACACACATATAGACGTATCAATTAATTCTTTTTATGAAATTGAATTCCGAATGGTTAGGAAAATACACACACTTCAAGCTATGGATTTCCAGTATATACTGACCGTTAAATGTTGGAAAAACTTATACAAAGGGAGATCATGATAGATTGGTATTAATGTAGGTATAAGTATAGAGTAACTGACCTTACCAACTTCACAATCCATCAGACTATTTTAACTAATTGCTAGTTAAGTCGAAGCCGTCTATTTCAACGTTGACTCAATCAACTTGAAATGGACACGCTCCATGTGGTTCGAGTTTAATAAAGAATATGAAGAAAAACTCCAATGTTTTTTTACATGTGAAGGAAAATTAAGTGGTGTGTAATTACACTAGAAAGAAACTTGCATTCTTTTTAGTAGTAAAATAATATTGTTATGCTATTTACAGTCTAGCTAGGTTGATAAAAATCATTCGACTTTCTCGCCTGATTTTCCATGGTTCCCTGCCAATTGAGCTACGTAGATTCACTTTCATAAGGATTCCACGTACGCATTACGCGGGTTCGATGCTGCTACAAATTTCTCTACTATCTATATACGTTATTAAACATGTAAATCTTTCTTTTCAATCACTCTTAAACCTCAAAACCTTCATCAAGTCTTAAAGATTTAAGCATACATTTAAAACTATACTGTCGATTGATTAGTCTACTTAAAAAATCTTTTGCACTAACATTCCATATAAATTAGGTACTTACTCTTTTTAGTCTAAAACAACTTATTTACATTTTTCATTTTCATTCCCATCTTCACTGAAATATTAAAATATAATCACATTTTTATTAATTTCTTGATTTTAAGTTTAGGGTTTTTTATAGATAACATACGGGAAATAACTTAGTAAAAGTATGCTATTTGAGGAAAAAGAGTTATGACGTTCTCATCCACAATATTTTATTAAAAGATAAATTAATAGAACAATATGTATTGTGGCAATTGGAATAAAAATGATTTTACTAGTTGTTTTGCAAAACGCAATTCGAGAGAGCAGACTGACTGTTTGAGTCCAAAAGGAGGATTTGATTTTTCGTTTACTTTTATACGTCTCTAGTGTTGATACAAAATTCTTAGTCAGACCCACACTGAATTCACAATACAATTTTGAGCAACGAATTAGCGTGGCAATTAAACCGGGTCTTTGATCATGGGAACAAAACCAGTTTCTATAATCTAGGGCAGGATCATAAAACTACTCAGAGTAGAATAAATAGACAACATTGCTCTCAATTCTATAGTTTAACGTCTATGTTTGAGTATCTAATACCTACCTTTAAAAATTCTTGTATATACATAGATACAATGCATATTCACAGGATCTCGAAAACGGTTTTAACGATTTCGATAAAAAATGTGTCGCTGACTGCGGGATACGGTATGGTAATGCAATATTTTTGTAATCGTTTCATTTTCAGAAAAAAATACGGGCTCAGTCATCCTTATACTATCTGACACTGTTAAGGTAGAGATATTTGTTAGTACATATTAAAGTTTTAATAAAAAAAAAATATTTTTTCGTTCTGTCATAATGAGTTGACATCAGCTTATACCTACTTATCCTTGAAATTTTATATTGATTTATTATACAATTAATGTGAATGATTTCATTATTCCATTATACTTTTATGGTTATATTGCATATTATTATAGAATAAAAGTATAAAAATTTCATTGTAAAATAGGTCACAAAAGCTCTATTGCTTTTGATGCTACAACAACCTATATTTGAAAATATATTTTGCCGTTGGAAAGTTTATAAATAAATATTATTATGCAATACCTGCCACTTAGGGCTTAATTTCTGAGTTTGAAATTACCATTTCAGGCTTTTGGCCTTTGGAATTAAAACTAGTAATCTTATCAAAATTTTTTTAATTTAGATTACAAAAAGTCAACCCTATTACTCACAATTCTAGCTTTTATACAACCAAATTCGGTTGGCTTAAAACCTAATTTTATTTTAAACAACCTGTTTCTAGCTATCTAGTTTTATAAATTAGTGGATTGAAATAATATAATTTTATAAGTAGGTAGATATATGTTTAAGACCTTCATATGTCGCAATACCAGTTTGCTTGGCCGAGAAGTTAAAACCGGAACCTTTTGCTAAGCTACCATTTACGACCGTGACTTGTAAAACGAAATAAGTAAAAGTTTATATAAAGTGATATCGATGTATTACATTATATTAAATAGATGTATTATATTTTTATTTTAACTTTCGTGAGAAATTCTAAATTAATTATTATGTTTTTGGCTTACTAATGTAATAATTTGACGAAATACTCGACTAATTTCAAGCCATGGTAGAGGCCCATATTCATGAGCAGCATTCCGCGACACGAGACACGCGACGCGGCGACCGTCGCGCTGCTACTCTGTTGGTAGCAGATGTATTTATCAGGTATTAAGATGTATTTATTATATATATTTATAAATTGAGCACTACAAGTATTGCTTTACCCATTAAACTATGAATACGAGTATAACGTTATCTCGAAGTATCAAGAGATCTTACTCTGATGATTTTACAAGGAAAGACACAAAGATGTATTAAATTAAGTTTGTATGGATTCGATCAAACAAAGTCTTAGTTCTAGATACCTTCAACCACCGAACAATAAACGCAATGTAACTTAATAAGCCACTGCACCCCATAACCTTCAAACAAAACCATATAAAAAGTAAAAGCGGATACCTACCTACCTACTTATGGTGCAAAATGGCTTCGCCATGCAGAACATGGCTGGCCACGCTTGGAAGCGTCCCCACGTAATTCGCGAAATAATTATGATACTATGCAATGTACAGTGGCAGTAACAATCATTAGCTCTATCCTATTTTATAATAATATCCAAATATAATTGTATTCTTTTATATAATTTAAAGAGATAAACTGGATAAAGATTATGGAATATACTAACTCCTGTCTGCAAGCTGCTTTCTCTGCCGTTTCCCGATGAAAAGTAGCCTAATGATTACAAACTAGGTACATTCTACCTCTATTACATTTTACAATTTTTATCAAAAATCATCCATGCATGCGGTAGTTTTAACGTGAAACAGAAATAGTACTCCATTCATCCATACATACAAATTGGTAGGACATTTATTAAAAAAAATAATCTCTACTATTAATAATACATAAAGACAAATTGTTTAAACATCGACATAATATCGGAAATTAAGACACAAGGAATTTAAAATACCCAGTGACCGACTGACGGGACGGGACATATGGATACAGATTGTCCCCGACAACCGTTGGACATCCTGTATATAGGGTAATATATAACCTACATGCTTCCTAGCTTGCACTTTAAAAGTTTGAAAGGGTCGGCTTTGCAGCTTTGCAAAGTTGGCATTGTGAATTTTCAATTCGAAAATATAGCCAGCCCTCTGGTAATTGACTAGCAATTCGACTAGTCTCAAGTCAAACCGGGAGCTCATATTCAAAAGTAGTATTGAGTGACACACATCACAGCTAATTAGCAATAAATGTTATAATTTAACAATTAACTTTTTTATATCTATCAGCCCATTGGTCACGTGGATAGGCATATTTCTAGATTTAACAATAAAATCTATATTTAGTGTTAACGTCATTCTCTTTAAATCTTGCCTCTTTATTGTGGGTAAACTATATTTTAATTGTTTATTGTTTCCCTGTTCGTAGATTTTTTCTTGGCTAATTGTATTAATATGTAAAGCTTCTTCGTTTCGCCGTTTGTACAAGTAAATGAGGTGGAATGTTATTTATTTCATTTGTTTCTTTTTTTTCTTTTCGTTTAAATTTCGAAACTCATTTTAAGTTTAGAATTAAAAAAATGTATGAATTTGATTTTAGGTATGAAAAATTACAGTACCCCTATAGAAGCTTTAGATGCATCTCTGATTGAATGCAGGGAAGATGACAATTCGCGGAGGTCAGATTAGGTTTATGGGTTACATGAGGTACATGGGGAAGTTACATTTTACTGGTCCAGAGAATCATAAAGACATTACGGCGCTGAATAAATATAATACAATAAAAATTAACGCTGTATGTACATAAAAAATTAACATATGAATAGAACTTATCGAAACTTAGTATAAGTTTTCGCGCATGCGCTGCTTAAAAATGGTAAGGACAGTCTGAGTCACGAGTTGACGAAATACCTATCTGACCAGTGAGCAAGCTTTCCTAACATAGCTTATTACAAGCATACAATATAGATGACTAGTTAGGAATATCTGATTATACCAAAACCACAAGACAATGTAAACTCCGTAGGAAATAATACTTTTAGTTCACAAGTTTCATAAAGGGCTTTATTACATATCATAGCAATTTAAATGGAGGCTATACCTATCTTACATTAGTATCTCACTACAACCGCGGTTTTTCGCTTATAATAAAGGAATGGATTGTGCATTGTTCCACTCACCTTGGGCCAGAGCCGGCGAAAGAGCGCTCCAAATAACGAGACAAAAACACAGAAACATTTTGCAACCGTCTACAGGACTGACAAACATCACTTGTTCATGACGTCACACACACATGCACTTACAAAAATTCCGATATTCTAAATTCAAAGGTTGGCGCGAAAGTTTAGCACTTGGTTCGCGGCGTTGTGTCGGGGCGGTGCGGGTAACACGGCACAGTCGAGTATTCGCGGCGGACTGAATCGGCGCCTGCGCCGCCGTCTGCCCCCACCACGAGACGCCTTTCACCGTTACAATTCGTAACTCGAAAGACTGTTGAGCAAGGCTATATGACGATTGACATTCAACAAAAACGGCCCATTTACTACACGGAAATAGTGTGTTTACTTCTAGTGTAACAACACCATACATGGGCACCTTGTTTAGTACTAATCGGATCTCGGCAGAAACTCTTTATTAAAAAAATTTGAACAAATAAAAAAAATCTTTGTAGGTCACAACGCTTTACAGAATTCGCGAACAAATTTTTCCCCTCGTTTCAAAACCCTTCTTTTTCGAAGGGGGCGAACTTAATACCAGGTCTGTGCTTGACTGATGTATTATAAATTACTGCAGCCGTGGAAGGGGTTGCTTAGTACTTACACGAAGTGCATGTAGATTTTTTTTATTTAAATTTGGTCAATGGTTAATAATGGAGGGGAGTTTCTTATCAACACTTTTGTTCTAGTTAAATAATAATAAGATTTCTTTACAAACAGGAGAGTTCAATTGACATTCATGTAACTTTTCTTACTTGTTATCAAAGTCAGAAAATATTCAGAAGGATTTATATTTGTAGGATGCAAAAAGTGTTGTATTTAGCGATTACACAAAGAACAAATTCCAATAAAATGTTGCAATTACCAATCGAAGCGGTTCATTGAACTCTATGTACTAACAATATTATAGGTCGGCAATCCGTCTGACTACCTGATGGTCAGCAATCAGCGCCGCCCATGGGCACTGGCAACGGAGAAGTTACGAGTGCGTTGCCGACCTATTAGGGATTTGGAGATTAAGGGATTGAGGATGGATTGGGGGAGGGGAAGAGTTGGGCCTCCGGTAACCTCTCTCACACAGCGAAACACAACGCTGTGGTTGTATCACCGGTTTTCTGTGAGGCCGTGGTATCACTCCATTCGTGCTGAAGCATGGCTCTCCCACACTTTAATTACTCTAATTACGCAAATTGGTTTGGTCCAAAATTATCCTGAGTTTTCGCCAGGATAATTTTGACGCATGCTAAAACCAATGTTTTGATTATCCCCTCTCGATTGGATAATAATAAGGTGAAAATATCGTTACCCTGATTGTCCCGTTGGGTTAAATTACTCGAACTTATCCGGTAATATTTCTTTTTGGAGATTATGTGCACCCCATCCTACACACGAACAACTATTTAATGTAAATGGCGTATATATATTTAAAGTTTTAACAACAAAATACTACGAAAAAATCGTCCAATTTAAAAAAGTAATCAATGTTTGAATATATTTCAGTTGAAACGTTACACCATTTGTTCTTAATTCAATTATGCTTCCATTAAATTTACATGTAAAATGTTTAAAACAAATAAAACTATTATTAACATTTTGTTTGCAATATTTAATAGTCCATGAGTGCATGACTGGTCTTAAAATAATTCAGCTGGGGTTGCGGGTTAAGCGCAATGAGGCACCGCGACCTCAGCCCAGAGCAAGAGATTGAACGGGGGGTTTTTAGTCAGTAATAAGTATGACACTCCCGCCCGCCCGGTCCTAAAATAATTGACGTTAAAACTTGTATAAGCCCTGATTATCAGTATTTTCTAAATATACCAATTTTAGTTTAACATTGCCTAAATTTTTAAAGTAACCTAAATTCCATTTACTATCGTCTGAAAGAATGTTTAAATTAAAAAAAAGATTCTTCAAGATGGCTTACAAATAAGGTCTAGATCATCAGGTAATTGCTAAAATAGTACACTTGGCACTTTTTTTAATTTAAATTTTACGAGCTGCCTTTAAGAGTCCATATTAATATCATGACTAATACTATCCTATTACATTTATTGACTGGAGGCAAGCTAAAGCTATTCTTCCGACCACTTCGAGGTTCTTTGTGATTTATTGATTTCATTGATTGTTGCTTTTATTGCTATCACTGGTGCTATAAATGTGGACAATCAATTAAAATATTTATTTATTGGATCAGTTGTAAGGGAGAGCAAGATTCTTGCTGACAAAAATCCAACCCTGGTGGCGCTATGTCATTGTAGTTGACTTGCAGACTGTGACAAAGTGTGGAAGAGTCAAGCTTCGACACGAATGGGTCGGCTCGACCGGAGTGATACCACGGCCTCACAGAAAACCGGCGTGTAACAACTACAGCATTGTGTTTTGCCTCAATCTCCAAAACCCTTATCCCTAAAAGGTCGCCAAAGCATTCGTACCTCCTCCGTTGCGAGTGTCTATGGGCGGCGCTGATTGCTTACCATCAGGTAATCCGTCTGCTCGTTTGCCGACCTATAACATAAAAAAAGACTGACGCCTGACATCAGCTTCATCTGTGGTGATCTCTGTGTTGTGTAGTAACTCGATATTTTGTACTGTGGAATAATGTACCGCGACCCCGGCAAGGATCAGGAGAAGGAAAGCCTCATATTGCCACACACTCCGCTAAAGGCGGACGAAGTCATTTGATGATATTACGCCCTAAAAAACACATAGGTACACATAAAATCATAATTTTTCATACAACCTATGGGTACACCTCCAGAGTCTGTACTATAAGTGAACTGATAAATCCAATAATAATCTGATCCTGAAACAGAACCTTAAATTGCATGCTTGATAGTGGCGCATAGCCAGTTGTTGTGTGGAAATTTTACAACGCGTTATTATTTTATGTACTTCATCTGCATTAATTATTATTAATCTATATTAAATATTGGCAACAAATGTAGAAGTGTGGGACAGTGTAGTTTGCAGACTACTTAATAGTCGGCAAACTACTTGTAACTCTTCTTCTTTTGTTTTCTTTTCTTTTCTTGTTCTATTGGTGTTGCAGGTGTACAGTCGTAGTTCATATGCTTGTATGCCATTAAAAATATTATAAAACGCAAATATTTCAACCGATTCCATAAAAGTAAGTTTTTATAGAAACAACCCTGAACAGCCATTTCAATTTACAGGCGACATTGATCAAATGCGAATCGTTTTCAGAATTATGAATATTCATACTAGTTACCTAGTACTAGTCGGAATTAAGTTCCATAAACTTTAAAACGTTTTTCAGGGTTCCCTAAGAAATGTTCACAAGAATTAATTTAGTAAAATTGTGTGAAGCATAGTTTTAATTGGGACACATAGTGAAAAGGTTACAACATATCTAGTCTGTCGGAGATCGTCTCGCGATTCCCAACTCACTGAGACTTTCTAAGGTGTCTGAGTCGTGAGGAGTATCGATCCTTCACGCGCCCCGTTTTAGCTATTATGATAGCTTTGCAGGTAGAGGAGACGACCTCCCAGTTACTCTCGCAGACGGATTGCCTGATGGTAAGCAATCAGCGCCACCCTTGGACACCCGCAAGAACGGAGGAGTTAGAAGTGCGTTGCCGACCTTTTAGGGATTAGGGATTTGGAGATTTTGGATTGGGGTGAGATGAAATTGGGGGAAGGGGAATGACTCCGGTAACCTCACTCGCCCGGTGAAACACAACACTGTGGTTGTTTCACTCCGGTTTTCTGTTAAGCCGTGGTATTATTCTGGTCGAGCCGGCCCATTCGTGCCAAAGCAAAAGCTAATCCACACTAAAATTTGGAAAACATTGGAATATTTCAGAACCTATTATTTTAACGGAGCCCTTAGTACTAGCAAATGACTCGATTGTGTCAGTTTTTATCAATTTCATCTTTTATTTACACTTCCTGATGTTCTAACGGTTATTTGCATTTTTTATTTAAAACGTGTTTCTGCATAATTGGTTTCAGAAGCATTGAATACACTACAGAAGGCATGGCTGTTTCAACCGATAATGGAAACGCAAACTATATGGAAAATAAGTTTTGTATCTTGTTGTTTTCGATATCGGCACGTATTGATTTGATTTACTATTTATTTTAACATCGCGTTATTTTTTCTATTTTTATTTACGTTATTTTTTCGTATATAATATGTATATTATAGTATATATTATTATATTGGACCTGCTGAAGATTTGGGAGAATTTTATATAGGTAAAGGTGACTTCGTGCTTGTGGTGTAAAGAGGTCCATGGATGCCGCCAATTGCATACCATCAGATAATCCACCTACTCGTATCGCCGCCTAGAATACCATTAATATAAGTGTTAGGACCAAAATTTTGAGTAATGATACGAGTTACGCATGTAACAAATTAACAACATAGAACAAATTGTATAAAATATTTAAGCAATATGCCAAAATATTGTTTATTTCAAATATTAATTATATTTTTTAAATATAATAATATTGTATGCTTGCTACAAAACGTGGTTACAGTTAGAGTATTTTCAATTTATTATTTATTAGTAGCTCACAATAAACGTGTTATATTAATCTAATTTTGATAAATCTATTTTTTCTTTTGTTTCATATTTCCTTACTAAAGAAGTAGTAAATATAAATGTAAACTCAATGGTGATGTCGTCGTGGCCTTTTTTGTTTGAGGGGAAAATCTCGAATGACTTCTCCTGACCAGGGTCGGGCGAGAGGCAGCGTCAGACTCTCTGCTGTAGGCATAGGCCGCGGTGCCTATTTTGTGCTTGCCCCGCAACCCCGGATGAACATTAGCCCTACAGGTCCCCTTCTGTGATGGACTATTGGCTCATTGAGGCGCACGCGGAACGCTACGCGCCGTACGCTCGGGTCCGCTTCTGGTCGGGCGGCGAGCTGCCCTTACTCGCCGTTCACAGACCCGCGCTTACGGTGGCTGGTGATCGCCTAACGATCCCCGACGCCCGGTGTGTCACCTACTGCGGCGGCTGGGGCTGAGGAGAACAGTTTTCTCACGCGCTTCGCCTCCTCCTTATGACGTCATGACCGAAGTCGAGTAATCAACATTCTCACTGATTTATAATATTTGCTACCACAGTGACCTTGTAGTAGGTAGTTACAATAAATGACCCAATGAGGTACAAAACAAACTATTATTCAAATTGTTATTTCTCTCCAAACTTTACTATATGTT